TCCTCTCTTCCTTCTCCGCTCACTTTCCTCCCTCCTCCTCCCTCCCATTCTCCATCATGTTCCTCTTCCTCGGGATGAGGAGGGAGAGGAGGCCAAGGAAGAGGCTGAGGCGGACACGCGGCAGAGAACAGAGAAACCAATAATAATATTAACCATATCGAGAGTAAAAAAGAATAGCAATGATAGGAATAACTCTAGTGATAGTAGTAGCAGTGGTAGTCGTAGTAATAAGACTGTGAATGCTGATACGAAATTCGTGATAAGAATCATACGAATACTCATACGATGACGAATGTCAGCGAAACTACTAAAAGTTATACGAATACGAATCATAATACCATTCACATTAACTACTACTAATAGTATTAACCATAACTGTCATACTAATATAGAACAACTTCAAAGCAGCAGCAGTAACAACAACAACAGCAACGACAGCAACAGTAATAATGGTGCTAGTCAACATAATAGTAATGCTTAGAATGTTGCTAATAACCGTAATATTTCGAATAATAAGAGACAAAACCGACGAATAACGAAAATAACGAATAATAATATCATAGTAGCAATAAACGCACATGATGACAAACAAAGAAGGGGCAGGGAGACGGGCTGAGATGAGGGAGGAATCAGGACAAGGAGCGGAGGAGGAGGAAGAGGAGGAGGACCAGGAGGACAACGACGACGAGGAGAAGGAGGAGGAGGAGGCGGCGGAGGAGGCGGAGGAGGCAGAGGAGGAGGCGGCCGCGGCGGCGGAGGCGGGTGCGGAAGCGGCGCCAGCAGCCGCCCCGGGGCCCGCTGCCCCCGCCGCCCCCGCTGGCGCACCCGCTGCAGCCCAGCAGGCGCCCGCCGCCTTCGCCACCGCCGTCGCAGCAGCCGTCGGCATCGCCCTCGCCGTCGCCGCCGGAACCGGGCGGCGACGCGGCGAAGTCTCGACGGACCCCCCCCACGTCGACGACAACGACGCGGCATCGGGCGGCTTCTCGTCGAAACGTCCACGGACCCCCCAATCCGGCGCCAACGGGCAGCGACGCGCGAAGCCTCGACCGACCCACCCAAGTGGGCGGCAGCGGGCGGCGACGCGCCGTTTTCCGCGGGAGAAGAGAGGTACCCGTATCTCCGATGCCGCACGCTCGCCCTGGGGGGGGCTCACGCCGCCACGGCCGGACTCTCCCCGAGATCGAGGCCAGAGCGCGGCGCGGGAGAGGTCCGCAGAGTGTAGCGGTATCGGCTTATTCGGAGCGTGAATTACCTACCCCGCTTTCGCTTCCAGGCAAAACCAAGTCAAACCCGTCAAGCGGCCTGACCAGTACACGCCGTAGTTTGGCATCGTTTGGTATCTCTTGGAAGCGAGGGTGGTCAAAAGCGAGGTAGGTTTGTTTGTCCCCTACTTATGCCTCGTTCCCCCCCAGGCGTCGTCGGCCTTCGCCGCAATCGTCCCTCGCCGTCGGCGTCGTCGGGTGCGTCCGAGCCGTTGGGCTGCTCTTGCGCCGCCGCCTGCCGCCTCTCTCTGCTGCTCCGCCTCGTGGGCCTGCCGCCGGATCCTCGTGCGCTGCTCTTCGCTGCGCGTGCGGTGGGCGTCGGGTCCCCCTCGTCTTGGAACCCACGGCGACCCAGACTGGACGCACAAGCGAGCGTGCACCGAGAAGAGCATCTCCGCTAGAGGCAGAGGTGGGGAGGGAGGGAGGATTAGCTGGATTAGCTGAGTGCGGACCGCTGTCCTCGGCCCTTGAGGCCATCAAACAGGGAGGCCAGATCCCTCCGAAAACCACTCCCCCACCCTCTCCCTCAGGCGGGCTGCGGGGGTTTCGCGCGATGGCGGGTCCTCCCCGCAGCAGCGTCGCCGCCTGGGCCTTCTCGTCTGGAAGGGGTGGGAGGGGGAGAGGCCTGCGGCTGGGAGGGAGCACTACACGACACAACGACGACGACACACGACGACAAAATCAAACGCTCCCTCTCCGCCAATGCAGCCAAAATCGGCTTGGGGGGGCCTTCTCTTCGTGGAAAGCGCCCCTGACTCAAACGATTCAAATTCTCTCTACCTTTCGCCGAGGGACCCTCACATCGGCTCGTCAACCCCCGAGGGTCGATCGTGTGGTACCTGCCGCAGGTACAGCAAACCGAAAGGAACCAACGGGGGAAAAAACTCATGCGGTGGGTGGCGTGGACCTCCGCAGCAGCAGGTCTGACCGCTGCGGGGGCCAGTGGGCAGGCTTCCACGCTCAAGGAGGATGCGCTATCACACGGGCTCTCTGCAAAACTCTGAAACGTGGCGTCGGCCACCACCATGCTACACCGCAAACACACCCACACGACCCACACTTCCTCAGTTGGTGGGCCGACGCCGTCAGGATTCTGTCACGCTTGGCCATTCTGGGCGCTGCCACAGGGCGAGAAGATTTGGCGCGGGGCTCGGCTGCAGAGGCTTCAATCAAGGTTCTGCGCGCTCGGCGGCGAATCAACGCCGCTAGCGCGTCCACCTGATCAGTATCAGGCATATCAGCGAGAAGCCCCTTCTCCCCCGCCAGCTCCGAAGCCCTCCCCGCCCATTGGTCAGCCGTCATATTGCCACAAGCGTAGAACAGCTCCAGTGGCGTCTCCAGCTGCTCTGGATTATCATCTAGATGGGATGGGGTCCAGACCACAGTTAGCTTATTTTTGTCAGACCTCGCTTCCCAAAACACTCGCGCCTCGGTCCACAGGTCCTCATTTTGGCCTCCAGGACGCGGGACCTCCAGGCGGTCCTTCCACGAACGGAAAATAGCCAAATGGTCGGTCACAAAAATGAACGGACCTGGGATCACCGACAGCGCCATCGAGAAAGCAAACACTTCCGCCCTGGGAACCGATTGCTTGTCCCCAGGTAGCGGTCGACACAACGCAGCGCCTAACTCGAAACCGTCATCTGTCGGTCGGAGCGCTGTGATCGCCGCTCCGCACCTTCTCCTACGGGGATCGTCATAAAACTTGCCACCAGAGCCGTCTCCAAAAATGTGGAGTTCCTCGCCTTGGCGGCAGCTCGCAAAATCTTCAGGGCCTCCAAACCACTCCTCCAAACCTCGAATCGCCTCCTCATCGAAGCGAGGGTGGGTGAGGTGGGAGGGAGGGAGGCCCCGAAGCCACAAACTCGGTTCGGATTCGTGTCGCGCAAAGGCTTGCGGAACCAAAAACTGCGTGCACACAAAATCCTCATGACCGACATTCCTCTCACGGTTCCAAATGCAATGGAAGAGAGACTCAGGGTTTTTCCCGCAGCGGCCGCACAACGGATCCACCTGGTAGCCTTCCTCCACCAAACGCTCCTTGTACCACTGGCCAGCAGACACGACGGTGATGTTGGTAGCCACCAGCTCCATCTGGTTCGCACGTTCCAGTCGTTTCTGCTCTCTCACGATCTGATACATGTCACCACCACCTGACAAGCCTTGACCAGCAATATGTTTAGTGGCTGCCCTCCACAGGTATCATCGAATGTCCGCCTCCGCATCCTCGAAGAGTGCCTGGAAGCTTCCTGTGGGAGTGAAGCCTGGGTCACCAGCCGTTGGGATGCCCCACTGGTCCACAGGGTCATCATCGCACTCCGTCGGTCGGAACCATGATGTTGCCGTAACTGGGTCCCAACCCAAGTCCATCAGCGTAGCTATCAATACAGAAATCGGTCCACGTACAGAGCTCCACCGTCGCACTCCAGCGCGTAGTAGTCGGTCACGTATAGCACCCCACGCTGCACATACTCGTCCGTGCAGGTGTGGGTTCCTCTGCCACATAGTTATCCATTCCTTGATCACTTGCATGGGGATATACACTGCTGGGTTCTGGACTGACGGTTCACACCCCAGTGTCGTCGTGAGGCAGCGGCCCTTGGCAGCACCACCGATCATGAACCCAGCTTGTCGTCGCAACTGCAATACCATCTGTCTACTCAGCCCAGCCACTTGATGACCATATAGTGCCTGAGGTACAGCTCCGGTGCTCCACAGCGTCCGTGCTACCTTTGACAGGGCTCCTATCCCCCGAAGCCTGCGTATCTTGCTAGCTCTCCTGCACGCACTCTTGATCCGTGATCTCAACTTCCGTATAGAACGCTTGCGCCCCGCCGATGTGTCCAGGCCCAAATCCACCGCCTCCGTGACTGCAGACACAGGTCGACCACGAGCACGTAGCTGGCCCGCGACTCTCTTGGTGATGCTGGGATTCGAGCCGATCAACACTGCCTTAGGCGAAATGATCATGCGCTGATCCTCCAGACCTGCCTTCAAGTCCATGGCGGTGGAGATCATCGCAGGCCCAACCGATGCGCGACTACCGTCACACCGCGCAGTCGTGTCGTCAACGAATGTCCAGAGCCCCGCAGCAGGCGACCGCCGATGCACCATGTCCAGGATAGGGTGCAAAAACAGTTTGGCCAGGCCCACGCCCCTCGGAGACCCAGCAACCAGGGAACGAGAAGGCAACATCACTCTGCTTAAGACCGAACTCTGTTGCAAATACCTCGGTGCCAAGCATTGCTGAACCTCCAAAGAAATGAGGGCAGCTGGGCAGCCCATCCCGCGGGCGATACGTATCAATTGGACCAGAGACGCCGAATCATAGAACTTCTCGGCGTCTAATAATAATGTGAGCGAACTGAAGCCCAAGGATGAACCAGCTTCGTCCATGCACGCTCTGACCAAACCAGCTCGTAGCGCTGATGACCCTCTCAGCGCAGTGCCCCAGTGATCCGTCAACTCCTGAGACCAGGACTCACTCAACGTAGCCCTCGCCTTGCTCCAAATCTTCGGTACTACAGTAACCATACCCAATACTCTGTCACCGCCTTTGGGCTTCGCCGCCAACGCACATCTCGTCGCAGAACACTGCCTCGGCCACGCGCACTTCTCCCCCGCGCACTGGATGAGGCCGCGCAGTTGCTCGCGGCCAGGCTCAGGTAAGCGACGGATGGTGCCAGGCCCCAGTGAGTCAAAACCCAGGGCCTTCGCGTCACTCATACTGTTGACCACTCTGTCGATACTCTCCACGGTGAGGTCAGGCAGTTCCTCCTCCGTCGCCTCCTTCGCGAGCTGGTGGAGCAGTTCCTGCAGCTGCTGTCTGGTGTCAACGGGGTCAGTCCAGATGCCAGCCCAGAACTCCGACTTGTGCGACATCACCGTGTCTGGGTCCGCGACCTGCGCTCAATGCCAATGGTCACATCCGCTGCTGTCGCAGCCTTCTCCTTCACATGACGGTGTAGCGCGCCAGGTGCCTTGGCCCAAATCTGCTTCGCCCGCTTGACAAACTCCTGCCTCTGAATGGTAATGCCACGCGCATGGGCAATGGTCGCATGGCGCTCCACCTTGTGGGTGTACTCCTCCAGGTCCTGCACACCCATAGTCTTGACAGCAGGGGCCGTCTCGTACACCGCCTTCTTTTCATCATCCGCGATGTTCTTGCCGAAGACCTCGTCCTGGTTGAGCTCCTTCAGCACCCTGATCTCCTCCGTGAACTGCTTCGCGCACTGCCTCTGCTGCCTCGGATCCGAGTCGCGTCTCCGCAGAGCCAGGTACCTCGTGAGCAAAGTCGTGCAAATGCTCCAATGCTCTGCCGCCGCATACTTCAGGTGTGCACGCCCTGGTGTAGGCCTCGCACGTACCTGCCTGACTCCCAGACCAGCCGCTCGCCCCATGTAAGCGTCGTGCTGCGTCTCGTCAATGCGGCTCGCGACGAGGGTTGCCTTCTCCACACGCGTGATCCACTGGCCGTACTCCTTTGTGAGATGATGCTCAGCGTCCCAGGTCTCCCGGCTGTCGTACGTGAGGTAGTCATCCATCATCTTGATTTCTTCCGTCAGCTCAAAGTGGGTATGCGTATACTTTACCGTATTCTGCCACAAGTCCAGCGGTATGAAGTATGGTACGTCCTCCGTGTCCTCGTGGTCACCCTCTATCATCTCGTTGAGAGCGTTCTTGTACTCCGTGTCAAGGCGGTCGTGGCGCTTCTGCTTCTCCTGCTGGCGTTTCCAGGACCGCTTGCTGTACGGGTCGGGCTGATTGTTGGGCATCTTCAACTCTGGCAGTGGTCTCGGAAGTGCCGCTGCCCGATGATACCATGACTGTCCTGTTCCATGCAGGTGCAACCGCAGCCCACAGTGCGTGCGCCACGGCACACTGAGTAGCACAGACAAACTCAATCGATGATGGAGGCCGTTCTTCACGATGCCGTAGTCTATCGGGCTGCCCTTGCCCTTGTCACATGTGACCAAGGTGTCCGCCTTGATGAGTGCACCACCAATCTGCTCCAGCCACTGGGAGTCCTGCATCTTCCCGTAGGGGATGTTCCAGTCCGCCATGATCACCCACGGGTCCGTGAGCGACTTCACAAACGCCGACATTGCCGCAATGCGCGCCTGGTTGGCGCCGCCGAACCCATCCTTCGGGAGCAGGTAGCCCGACACGAGCACCACGTTGCCTCCCTTCAAGTGGACCGTGGCCGCGGAGAACCCCACGAACGGGTCGCAGTAGCCCTCCTTGTCCATCTTCCTTCTCAGGTCGTCATAACCTGTGGCTGCCACATGCGACCTGATGGCGATGCATTCACCTCCAGAAGTGCCCGTGGTGGAGCGGCCCGTGCTCATAGCCGCCGTCGCCATGAGCTTCCACCCATCCGTCGCCACCGCCATCGTCACATCCTTGATCTTCGCTGCCGCGAGATGTGTCTCGCACATCATGAAAACGTCCATGTCGTTGCCAGGCTCATTGAGGAACTTGCGGGCCGAGGGCCCCCATGTCGTAATACTGGCAAAGACTATACTACAGAGGAGACTGATCCTTAACAGCCACACCCATCGCGTCGTCCCCCCGTTGTCCTTCTGACTGCTAGCAGGGGCCGCTCGGGCCGCGGAGCTCGCTGTGGCTGAAGACCTAGCCTTCTCGATGCGGTGCTGAGACTCCTGCTTGAGGCGTTGGACAGCACCCCGACGTTTGGCTTCGCGACCCGTCTGTTGCCCAGCGACCTCCTGTGGCGCCCCCGCAGTCGACTGCCCATGCTCCTCCAACTTCTGTGTAGCCGTTGGCGCCGCCACAGCGCCTTCTTCACCCACTTTGCGTCTCTTCGCCTCCAGGTGCGCATTTCGCATCTCCTTCGCCGGCTTCGCCAGGTTGTCGGACTGCTTGTACTGTGCATACGCGTTGTTGACCAGCTCCGCAAGCGCCTGCATGTCCGCCTTGAACTTGAGCAGCTTGTCGCGCTCCTCGGGCTGGTACTCCTCCAGGTCCTCGAAGATCGCCTCGTCGACCTCAGGGGCCTTCCACTCCTTATTGGGATCAGGCGGCACCACCAGAGGCGACGGCTTCGTCCTGGTGTAGTACTCATCCAAAACCTTCGCGTGCTCGAACTCTGCCTCCTCCATGCGAGCCGCCGCCTCATCCTGGGCCAGCAGCGCTCTCTCCATGCGCTTCTGAGCCAGTAAAACCGCCGACGTCGCCGTGTCCAACTCCTTCTGTGCCTGTTCCTTCTTGTTGACAGCCTGCTTGAGAGCCAGGCTCTGGGGGACCTCACGCTTCGGCTTCTTCGGGATGGCCTCAACAACCTGGCCTTTGAAGTCGCGGAGGGCCTGCAAGTCGACCTGCACCTTGTAACCACCCTGCTGGGCCTCGAACTTCTGGATGATCGCATCCAGCTCCTGTTCGGGCGTGAGGGTGGGGTTGCCATCCTTCCTCCAGGGCGGCTTCTCCTTGTCCTTTGAGTGCTGCAGGACGGGGTTGATGAAATCGTTACACTTGTCGCACCAGCCACCCGACCTCTGTAGCTTCCAATCATAGACCCAGCCCCCGCACGACGCGCACACCGTATACGTCCGCGCCTTGGGCATGGATCTGGCTCTGGGGGGCAGCGCGGAGCTCGACCGCCCAGGCTTCGAACAAAACTGAGAGTGGGTGCCCAACTCCCACGGTGGAGGCACGCAATGCCTGCCAGGCACGGAAAGTCAAGCTTGGGGAGTGGCCTCAAAGCGGAACCTCCCTCGCGCTCAGAAGTCGCCCCGAAAGACTCGCGGTCGTCGGGACGGTTCATTGCCTTGAGCCAAAATGGCTACGGAGGGGAGGGAGGGAGGAGGAGGAGGAGGAGGAGGAGGTTGGCTGATGTGGCGCGCAGGTTGCCGGTAAAGACAGCAGGGGCGTCCGGAGCTGCACGAGGGAGGGAAGAGGATCGAGGATCGCCAATGAGGAGGAGGAGGAGGAGGAGGAGGAGGAGGAGGAGGACGACGAGAAGGAGGAAGAGCTATGGAGCTATGGATATTGCGACCATGTCGGTTACAAGCATGAGACTCTTACACATTGAGGTGACTGACAGACACGCGTGCGCATGCACAAACGATGCGAGTCGGACATACGAATCTGACCTTCAATTACCTGCTGCGGTACACCGTGCCACCTCACGAGTAAAATGTTAACCCTATTGCCATGCCCACCAACACACGAATACATTGAGACCAAAGAGCCCATTGAATGGCCAGACAACAGCACAAGAGAGGCATCCCCCTTCATCGTGATGAAGGGACTCAACATGGACTTGCACCTGCGCGCCACAAGCAGTACGCGACGATGGTTCCAGAACGCCTGACCAACCTGCCAGCAAAACCTGAACAGTGCCAGGACGTAAACTACCCTGCACATCTCTCTCAAAATGCATGCCTCCAGACCAAAACAATAGGGCAAAATGAACACAAAGCTCCCCACATGTGCAGCGAGCAAACTCATGTTCCTCCATTTGACTGTAAGGTGTGTTGTGCCGACAGCGAAAAAATAGTAACACCCATCCAGGCTGCACAAGAAGATGACGGGATACGCCCGGCCGACAGGGGGACGATTTCAAGGGCACGAACGCCCGCGGCACGTCCTCTCGCCTGCCGACTGGGATCGTGCTGAAGAAGTAGGAAGGGATACAAAATGCCCAGCCTGCACCTTGCCATCACGAAAGCGACACGGGCGAAGTAAAACAACACCGCACGTGGCCTGCACCGCCAGACGGATCAGCAGGAGGTGCTCGAGTAAGCCCAGCGGGGGTAACCGGGGCATGCCCTGGCCTCTGCCGCTGTTTGTTTAGAAACCGCCACCAGACGGCGAGTGCCGGACATCTGCGTACCTGACCTCCGTGACTCGTGATCGTGTCTTGAAGTCTTATCATGGTATATGTTTGGAAGAGCGCTGTCTGCCGCTGTTTCGGAAGAGTTTTATGATGGTATGTGTTTGGAAGAGCCTCCCCCCCCTAACTCGAAGCGAGGGAGAAGCGGAAACAGCCTCGCACTCCGAACTGGAGGCGGAGGGGGGCGCACCCCGCCTCGCCATCGGCTTGAAGCGGGGGAGGAGGGAGGGAGGCGGAGTTGAAAGGCCCCCCCCGCCTAGTTCAGGCCCAGGGGGGAGGTGGGGGGATTCCATTGCAGCTGGATCCAGCCAGCTGGATCGGGCCCAAATGAGTCTTATAGGTTTCTATTAGAGCTGCATCCAGACCGTAGTAGGTTCCCAGCAGAGGTGAATCGAGCACTCGTGCGATCCTACGGGGGGCTGGATCCAGCCAACAGTAGGATTTTAGTTAAGTTGGACCGAGCTCTAGTAAGATGCTGGTGGAGCTTGATCCCGCCCTAGTAGCAGGATCCGACTAGAGTTGAATCGAGCCTTCGTAAGATCCTATTATAGCTGCACCTGGCCGTAGTATGATTCGAATAGAGCTGAATCTAGCCTGTGTGGGATTGCATTAGCGCTGGATCCAGCCATAGTATGATGCCAGGAGAGCTGGATCCAGCCCCAGTAGCAGGATTTGATTGGAGCTGGATTGAGACTTTGTAGTGTTTCATTGGAGCTGGATCCAGCCTCAGTCATTTCGATCAGAGCTGGACCTCGCCTTCGTGGATCGCAGCGGAGTGTGATCAAGCCTTACCAGGTTTCCAAACATGTCTTCTTCGCCAAAACAGTATCAGCGATTCGTGTGGGGTATGGCGACAACACCAAATAACGAGTTGCTGAAGAGTAGTCGCAACCTACGTGACGGGGCGAATTGCCAAAAAGCACCCATGCCATGCAAGTTAAACTCGCGTTGTTGAGCGTTGCCAATATAAACTCCATCCATTAACACGAAACAAGAATGGTCATGCGAAGGTGGCCGACCTCGCCAGGATCATCGTCGACGAAATGACTAATTTTGCTTTGCCGCGCATGCCCACCACCGCGCTTGGCAAAGTGGCCAAGGAATGCTGTTGCGTGGCAAGACAGACTGGTTCATGAATGTCGTGTTGCGTCTTGTTGGGCCAATGCCAGATTTTTCGAGGACCTCCTTTGGGCCGTATTGGGCCTGCCCCGATCCGTATCGGGCGTCTTTCCAGCCCTCCGCCGCTGTTTGCGTCAAGTGCCAGAAGGTGCCATCTGGCAGCGAGCGACATACGTGCGAATACCTTAACCTCATTGTCCGTGATCGTGCGAGAGAGTATCCTTCTTGGATGTTCGGAGGGAGGGGGAGGCACGAGGAGGAAGGATCACACGGATGACACAAGATGATGAAGAGGAGGGCATGGAGAGGCAGGGAAGGAAGGAAAGCGGGGAGAAGGAGGAGGAGGAGGAAGAAGAGGAATCGCAAGGATAGTGAACAAGAAGGACGAGAGACGGGCTGAGAGGGAGAGAGATCAGGGAGGAACACGGATGAGGAGCGGAGAGGGAGGATCCAGAGGACGAGCGGAGATGGAGAAGGAGGAGGAGGAGGAGGCATATTGGAGTCACCGAGAATGCGACCAAGATGTTGCAACGCAAATTTGCGATTCCAAGTCCCCTCCTCAGAAGTCCGTCCCTGCACATGCTCGCTTCCACTGCGGAAAGCCCCACCCCCCGTGAATAACGAGCGCCGGGTGAGCTTGCCGCTCAGGCGAGACCCCGTCTCGTGAAGGATCCACCCTTCAGTTGTCTGGCTAAAAGAGATTCCAGTACGTAGGATGGGTCGGGGCCAAGGACGTGTCCATCGGGAGCCACGTTTTGAGACGAGTCCGGTTTCCATCCGTATAAGTGTTACCCGTTGTTCTGCAATGTTGGTCACAAGTGCATGGGAATTTTAAGCGATAGCCCAAGTTTGAAGAGGAGCCGCCCTCCATCCGCGTAATTGTGGCACACGTTGGAACTTCGAGTCGTCAGACGGCAGCCGCAAAGGAAGAACGTAATTGCTCCCATATTTGTGGTCGCTGGAAGTTTGAGGTAACGATTGTGCGCGGCGCTAAGGCGAGAGGCACATTTTGAAAACACATGGCCCTCCATCCTTGCAACGAGATGGGACTGTTAAAACGCACATGCGCGGCGCTAAGGCGAGAGCCACATTCTGAAATTATCCAGCCCTCGATTCTAAGGTAACGAATGTGCGCGGCGTTACGGCGAAAGCCGCATTCTGAAAAGAATCGGCCCTCCGTCGTGGTAATTGTTGGACTCCTTTTAGTTTCAGGATCGCAGATTGCCAGGAAGTCTCAAGCGAAACGCCTGGCCTAGCCTACGGACATGCATGGTTGTTCGACAGGGGGGGGGACTTGTTCACAAGGAAGAGAGATGAAGGAGGATGGGGAGGAGGAGGAGGCGGACGACGAGGAAGTCCTCCTCCTCACCCTCCTCCTCCTCCCTCTCTGCTCCGTCTCCACATTCCCCGCCTCCCTCCCCGCTCCCCCTCCCTCCCTCCTCCTCCTCCGCCTCCCCCCTTCTCGGGCGGAAGGGGAAGGCGGAGGAGGAGGCGGAGGCGGCGGCCTAGGCGGCTGCGGAGGCTGTGCCGACGACGGCCACGGGTCCCGCCGCGCCCGCCGCCCCCGCCGGCGCGCCCGCGGCAGCCCCGGAGGTGCCCGCCGCCGTCGCCGCGATATCGCCGTCGTCCTGGTCCTCGCTGCCGCCGCCGCCCGTCTTCGCCGCCGCCCTCGCCCTCGCCGTGCTGCCCGATCGTCTGGACGCGGGAGCAGCAGACGCAGCAGCGGCAGCGGCCAGCAGAAAAGGAAGTGGCGAAGCGAAGCAGAAGCAGGAGGGGAGCAGCAGGAGAAGGAGAAGGAGGAACAGGACGACAAAATGGAGGAGGAGGAGGAGGAGGAGGAGGAGGAGGGCAGAGGAGGAGGAGGAGGAGGAGGAGGAGGAGGGCGGAGGAGGAGGAGGAGGAGGAGGAGGAGGAGGAGGAGGAGGAGGAGGAGGAGGAGGAGAGGGCGCATGAGGAGGAGCAGCAGTAGAACGAGGGTGAGCGGAAGGGGGGAGGAGGAGTAGCAGGAGCAGGAGGATCGTTAGGAGCAGGGCCAGGAGGAGGATGGGAAGAAGAGAAGGGCGACGAGAAGGAGAAGGAAGAGACGAATGAGAAGTAGGAGGAGGCTGGAGGATGAGGAGGGTGGGCAGAGAGTGAGGAGTTCCTGACACTCATATCTCATGGGCTTACCGAGTCCACGGTACATAGTTTAGTCTTGGTTCGCCCCCCTGGAGGGGCAGTGCTAGATTGTCCGATGAGCGCTTTACGTGCTGGGCGGGAGGTGATGTTGCAGCTCGTCACTGTGCATGGCAAATTCGCGTATAAGTCGCTGTTGTAGTTTTTGTTGTGCGGCATTCCCCGTCCTCGCGCAAGTGACCTACCACCATCGTCCTTGTGGTGATGTTCTCCGCGTGCGTGGTCGCTAACTCTAGAGTGCGCGTGGTGGATCCCAGCACGTCTTGGACGCGGCAGTGTCAAGAGGGCATGCACACACGAAGAGAATGAGACGGAGGGGGGAGAGGAGGACGATGATCGGATGAGATGAGGAGCGTAGGGGGGAGGAGGAGGAGGAGGAGGAGGAGGAGGAGGAGGAGGAGGAGGAGGAGGCGGAGGAGGAGGCGGAGTAGGACG